TATATATATCTTACTATCTATCTATATCTACAGAGAGATACTTTCTTCAGTAAGACAGAGAGAAGCTGCTGATAAAGAAAACCACAAGACTTTTAACAAAACTCAGAAAATCTTAAATACTATTAATGCAAATGAGGAATCCCTTTGACTTAAGCTGTAGCCCCTTCTCCTTCAGCTCTGGCTTCTAGGAGCAGAAGACCTTGATGATGCAGAGATGATCTTTCTGTGTGGATGGGAGGAGCCAGGGTGGGCTGCCAATCACTGCTGCACATTCGTGATATATCCATGATGCCCACCAGAGCTCTACATAGGTGCAGGGGCAGACAGAGTCAACAGTGCTCAACTAGGAACTGACTCTGGATCAGGGTTCTCTAGACACATATTGTGTCTCCCCTACCCACTGTCTCAATGTCCTTTACTTTTTCTTTCACTTCAAGACAGTTTTCTAATGTGTCTGTTCTTGAAAGTATAGACTTGATACTTCTGGAAATACAATGATGGCGCCTACGGGTAAACACTGAACAAACAACAAAACAGAAAATCATGAAAACAGCAGCCTGCATCCATTGAGGATGTCAACCATGCTCAAGTTCCTTGATAGATTGGAAAGGGATATACCATCTATCCTCTGAAATTCAAGAACTAGATTTTCTGGAGTTAAAGAACCACAGAACAATAAAACATCTGGAACCCCAACTCTGACAAGGCACTGCCATGTCTTTCCTTCCTTGGAAAGACCCCTTGACCACCTCTTGCATTCGTAGGTCCCTGGATAGTTTCAGAAGGAGCTCTTGTGGCCCAGTGGTTGAAGGACTCAATTGTTAACTAAAACATCAGTGGTTTGAATCCACCAGATGCTCTGAGGGAGAAAGATGAAACAGTCTGCTTCTGTAAAGATTTACAGCTTTGGAAACCCTATAAGGCAGTTCCACTTTGCCCTCCAGGGTTGCTATGAGTCAGAATAGACTAGATGGCAGTGGGTTTGGTTTTGATTTGGAGTAGTTGCAGGAGTTAGAGAATAGTCCCTCTCCCTCCTTGCTGTGACTGGACACAGCAGTCTTCAGAGTTCCAACTGAAGGAAACTGAGTTGCTTGTAGATTATTATAAAGCAGCCCCTCTAGGTCCTCTCCATTTCTTATCCTCCTTCCCCTAGCTCCAAGTCTCTACTTCCTAGGCTTTTTCCAAGCCCTGGGAAAACCCCACTGCCAGTCATGGGACCCAGAATGCGAGAGAAGAGAGGGCAGTGCTTGTTTCAGGGAGCCAGGCATCTGAGTGGGCAGGAGCCAGACGGGGAGAATCTATTTGGCACCTGTACCCAGCCCCTTGGCATTCTCCTCACGTTACCAGCCCCTGGAAGGATTGATGCATCTGCCTTTGAGCTGTTGTGAAATGCAAGGGCTGAGGAATCGCTTTTGTGGGCTGGGGAGGGAGGAGGGGTTGAGGCTTCTCTGGCAGATGTCCAATGAGTGGTCACTGCTTCAGGCTTGGCATCTTAATGAGGACCTAGTCCCGATCAGGCAGGGAGAATAAAGTATCTGGGCTGGGGCCAGCTCCTGCTGCCCCAGCACCAGAGAAATGACTGATTTCCGCTGCTGCCAAGGACAGCAACAGGGTCAGATCTCTGGGCCTTTCTGACACATGATGAGGAAATGCCCTTGGAAGCCAACATCTTGAACCCCCACCAAGCCCTCTTGCTGAGGAGGAGAGGAAGTCCCCCTCGCAGACCACCCAGCCCCTCCACCTCACCCCAAGCACAGAGCTACCTAACAGACTGGCCTTTGCTGAACTGGAGCCAGCCAAGACCTCTGACCTGGCCCCTTCTCTGCCAGTATAAAGGACTGCCAGCAACCTGGATGTCCTGAACAGCCGGAGGCAGCTGAAGTGTGGGCATCCTTGTGTGGGGTCCAGGACTGAATTATGTGTATGTGGTTTTACTTCTTTTTTTAGACCAACAAATATTTTTACTCAAATAGAAAAGAGCTGTGCTCAGATTGTAGGCCATGGGTGGGATTCAGGAATCAGCAAGGCTGCTCAGCTGGACTGGGAAGGGTGGGAGGTAAGCTTGAATTTTGATGTGGGTCTATCACTGTGCTATGCTCCTAACCCCTTGGGATTTTTGAGGAAAGCTCTTTGAATTGACTACATCTGGAGAACCTTTTGCTATCCTATGACAGTTATCCCTCTTGTCTTTTCACCTAGAGGCCCATGCTCTGCTCTGGGGATTTTAACATTGGCAGAAATATAGAATGTGGCTTGAGCTAGGTAACTAATTGAAAGGTTTTCAGGGAGGAAGAAATTTGGGAGTGGGGAGTGTCTTCTGGTTAGATGTGAGGCTTCAAGGCTCCTATTGGTGCCCCTTTCCCATATCACCCCAGAGCAGACACTATGGCTTCCATCTTCTTGGCTGTGTGCTTCTAGAACCTCATACTCATTTTTGGACTGAGAAGAAGGGAACATAGAGATGGGTTGAAGGTTATTGTGACCACTGGCAATGATGACTATGCTAGGCTTTCACATCAGGGCACTGGGTCATCATGGCCTGATGAAAGAAGGCAATTCCCTTGGAACACTAGAGGCTGAAATTTTCAGATTGCCCCAGTCTTAGTCTCACAGGCCTCCATGTTGGCTCTGGGGTCATTTCTTTGCCATGCCCACTGTAAGCAGCTGTCTATGTATGAGTCCAAGAAAGAGGATAGCTGAACAAGGAGCAGGAGGGAGGGCCCACTTTCTCCCTATCCTTGCTATAGGCTCTACATAGAGAGTCTACTTTGCATGTGGACTTATTAAACTGGGTACATGAACAAAATGAAACATTTTTTGGAATAGGAAAGGGGCAGAAATTAGGATTGTGGAATTGATGAGGTTTCTGGAGGTGCTAGGACTGGAGTGTATTATTTCTCCTGTACTGGGACAAGACCGATAAGACATATCCCACTGTGACTCAGTTTACCCATCTGCAAAATGAAGGGTGTAATTGCTGATCTCTGGTACCTTCCAACTCTGACACTCCTAGATTCTGACAGCACTGAGTTACTGTGTTAGTTTTCTTAATATGACTCAGGAATTCCTGGACAGCATTCCTCAGGTCTTGCATGGTTTAGGGGCAGTTGCCTCTGAAGGCTCACTAGGCCTGGGCAGGCATGAACACTCCTCTCCTCCTGAACACTTATGTCACAATTCAGAGGCTAAAGTATCTGCAACTACTCCAGGCCCAGAAGGAAAATTTGGTTTCATGCTCCCTCCTAGCCTTCCCACATACCAGTAAAGCACTGCTGAAGTCTTATTTATTCATTCATTTTTAAGAGCCAGTTGTGTTTACAAGAGTGTTGAACTGACATCTCATCAACCAATATGGCTACCCAAGTCCATTGCACACTCATCTCTCTGCACCAAATCCTCATTTTTAAAAGACTAGGCCAGAAAATCTGTGAGAGCTTATCTTGAAGCAAGCTCCAGTGAATGCTCTAGGCACATAGGTTGGTCTCCCTGACACACCATCCTCACCTATTCCTCTCTTGGAATGGGCAAAAGTGACTTGCTAGTGAATTGTCACCTTGGAATAGGGTGTCACAGTCAAGGTTTTTCTCAGTTCTCCTTTGCTTTGCTTGTGAACCAAATGCTACACAGCAATTATATTCCTGACCTGTGAGTGGACCTTGGAGGTCACTAAGCTTCCTCTAGTCAACAGACAAAAGACTTGGTGCTTCTTCCACTCACCCAATCATGCACAAATTATCCCTGGAGAGAAGATTTCCATTGGAGCCCAAGGAGTTTTGATCCTTACAGGTTCAAGTGGAACATTACTGTTTGTCTCTGGGGATGCTTACTTTGTGGAATACACTAGTGCAAGTATCTTTGGTGCTAAATACTATGGAACCCAACACCAACAGAGGAGATGACAGCCAACTTCTGGAGCAGCATGAGAGTCTACTTAGAAGCAAAAACAAGTCATTCATACCAGGAGGTTACAGGATACATGAGAAGTTAGGTGGGAGTGCATGGAGTGGTCAAAAGACCACTGAAATAACTTTTGCTCTTAATTATCCAGGTGACCTTGGCTAAGAGGTTGAGGAAGATATTTTTAAGGACCGTTTCAGTTCCAAATAAATAAATAAAAAGATGAAGAGGAAGAAGCTCCCTTCTGGCCCCACCTGTTTTTTTGAACTTGCTTGTTAGAAATATGAGTGAAAATTAAACGAAAGATAGGTGAAGAGGGGAAGAGAGGAAAACTGAACAGTGTCAAGGAATTGATTATAGAAGGCAAATAAGGAAGGCTTGGTTACTGATAGGTTTGAAGGATGAGGAATGTGACTGGGGGAAGCCAGGCAGGCAAGCCAAGGACCTGATTTTCAAGCTCTGCCTAGCACGGTGGCTGACTTTCACCAAACTATCCTACCCAATGGGCCATCCTTCCTCATTCAACACATATATGTCCAAAATTGGCTGAGATTATTTCAAGCTATAGGAAGAGGGAGGGCTTGTCACTTTTTATGAAGGCCACTGGCAGTCTGAACTCTATCTCAAAGTCAAGAGATTTTTATCTGTAACTGATAATTATAAGGGACAAGGATGTTAGAAGGGAGTCCTGGAGTAGTGAAAACAATTAAGCGTTTGACTGCTAACCAAAGGTTGGCAATTGAACCCTGCTCCCCACCCCCAGCATCTTAGAAGAAAGGCCTGGTGATCTGCTTCTGAAAGGTCACAGCCATGGAAACCCTATGGA